TGCCGCCTCCTGAAGTCTTCCTCCAGGATCTTGGTCCTCACCCATTCGAGCGTCCATGACCCTTGGTTCTGAGGAAGACTGAGGCCGCTCGTGAACTGCAACCAAGACTCGGGAAGCAACGACAGCATCCGCAAGCACCTCGTTTGCTCCGGGTAGGTTACGCCCGCAATCTTCAGCTTCGCGTATAACTCCCGCATCTTGTCTAGGACGGGTTGAATCGGCTCCCCTTCATTCAGTCGCAACGACGGGAGTTCACGCTCCAGCATGAGCGTTGCAACCACTGAGGTTGGCGCATGCAGCTCCTTAAGCACCTTCCAAGCTAGTGGTCCGCGTTCAGCCTTCTCCAGCAGATGCATGACGTGTGATCTCTGGTTCAGGTCCAAACTCTGCGAAAGGAGGTAGTAGCCCGCCGTCGCACGCTCGTCCCACTCCTCTTGCAGGTTGGCGTCGTCCGGCCTCTTCTCCTCGCCCGTCATCAGCTTCAACAAGCCGACTTGCCGAAAATACAACTGCATTTTCCACGCCCAATCGTCATACCCATTGCCGTTGAACTTGTCGACGGTAAAGTTCTTGAGCACTTCCTTTAATAGTGAGCCCTAGCTAGGACGCACTCCCCTTGGTGCTGAACCTCCAGTATCATGGCTTCCACTATTTGCACGTGCAAGAGAACCTTCAGTTCCGCCCGACTCCATGGTGTTCTGACGGCAACCCTTAGAACCACACCTCTGATACCACTTATTGACCAGTATATGGGATCTAGAAGCTCTAGGCACGCCTTTAATACACACTAGTTAGTCCCCACGGGGTCACCTCCAAGGGTCCTCGGGTGCCTGGCAAAGCCAGCCCCTAACCAAGGGTCCGTGTTTGTCGAGGGACGTACTAAGTGTAAATCCAATCACGTGCACTAGAACGCTCCCAGGCTCGTTTGCGCAGCGTTGACGACGAATTGGCTCGTATGCAGAATCAGCTCTTCACGTCAATACGTTAATAGAGCAATTTTCATTCACAAAAGGATTAATTGCAACTTCGCATAAGCACACAATTTATATGAAAGCCTACGCACACACAAAGGAAACACAAAGCAGTTGTTTAACTAGACTTTAGGACTTCGCCAGATGCGCCAAGGAAAACGGTTGTCGAACTGCTCTTGAGTTTGGCTTGATTTGCCCCGTCAAAATAACTGTCTTCAAACTGCACTCCTGCCAAAACCCCCTGCTGACTCCCTTCGCGAACATTCATGATCTCCCATGCGCTATCATGAATGCTCGTGTGGGATTACCGTTATTTCACGAAGCCTTACAGTTACTTTACGGTTTTTCACCGTTTTCCCCTGTATCGAAATTGTCCCGTTAGGCGCGCGCCATTTCTCGCGAAATTATCTGTAAATCGGGTCAACGCGGGATTCAGTTATTCAACCGAAATCCCGAGCACCCGTTGACCGCAATCATGCACGACCGATATTTCGGTCGTGCTGTACAGTTCGCGGACATGCGCTGTCCTGCGCGTGGGCAGGGCGATCATTCGCCCTGTCTTGTTGCGATCGTGGGCCCTGCCACCCTCGCAACAGTGCGAGGCACACTCTCTGGCCTGAGGACCAACACGCGCGAAATCAGGACCACACGCGGTCAAGATTCTCGCGCGCTTAACCTTTGACCAGCACAAAAAATATCCTCGGTCAACTCGTGAACACTCACAGCATTTCATGAACACACACGAAAAACAGAAACACATGAACTTACATGAACACACATAAACCTTCATGAACTGCTCACGAAACTCACAGAATTTCATGAACACATGATTCACGCATCCTCGACAACTCACGAAACAACGCAAACGCACACGAAGTCTCGCATTCGCTCGCGGACTTTCACGAACACTTAGGAACGCAACCTCTCACGAAAACGCACATAACTCATGAACCGTTGAGACGATTCACGAGCCGTAAACACTCAAACGTAAAGCACGAAAATGCGCAACTCACACACAACAAATTACCTTCAGAACAAACACCTTTCTTTCACTCGACGTCGACGAATAGGTGGTAGGTTGTCGTGCAAATCATGTATTGCACTCAACACATTTCAGTCGTACATGGTACCTGCACTACAGGCGCGCATACCGACCAAACTGACCAGCGCATTACGTATGTTTGTAGAGATGCAGTTAGTGCCATATTCTTGCCAGTCCACTAGATTATGCCTTCTACTTCAACAACACTAGGTTATAACCTTTCCGATCCACATAATTTGGGAGATTTCAGAGTTCCAGTTCCGCCTTGTACCTACACACAAGCGTGCATACTGACCTTACCGGCCGACGCAATACTCTCTCCGTAAAAATACAGTGAATACCGTATGTATTCCCAATTCCTTTAAATGATACCATTCCCCACCCCCCTACCATGTTTTAACCTATCGGATCTATGTAATTTGGTAGATATAGACATTTCAGTCGTACGTGGTACCTGCACTACTGGCGCATAGCGACCAAACTCACCAGCGCATTACGTATGTTTGTAGAGATGCAGTTAGTGCCATATTCTTGCTGGTCCACTAGATTAGGCCTTCTACTCCAACAACACTAGGTTATAACCTTTCCGATCAACATAATTTGGGAGATTTCAGAGTTCCAGTTCCGCCTTGTACCTACACACAAGCGTACATACTGACCTTACCGGCCGACGCATTATTCTCTCCGTAAAAATATAGTGAATACCATATGTATTCCCATTTCCATTAAATGATACCATTCCCCACCCCCCTACCATGTTTTAACATATCGGATCTATGTAATTTGGCAGATATAGACATTCCAGTCGTACATGGTACCTGCACTACAGGCGCGCATACTGACCAAACTGACCAGTGCCATATTCTTGCCTGTCCACTAGATTAGACCTTCTACTTCAAGAACACTAGGTTATTACCTTTCCGATCCACATAGTTTGGGAGATTTCAGATTTCCAGCTCCGCCTTGTACCTACACACAAGCGTGCATACTGACCTTACCGGCCGACGCATTATTCTCTCTGTAGAAATACAGTGAATACCATATGTATTCCCATTTCCTTCAAATTATACCATTCCCTACCCCCCTACCATGTTTTAACCTATCAGGGCTATGTAATTTGGCAAATATAGACATTCCAGTCGTACATGGTACCTGCACTACAGGCGCGCATACCGACCAAACTGACCAGCCCATTACTTATGTTTCTAGAAATGCAGTTGGTGCCATATTCTTGTCAGTTCACTAGATTAGGCCTTCTACTTCAACAACACTTGGTTATAACCTTTCTGATCCACATAATTTGGGAGATTTCAGAGTTCCAGCTCCGCCTTGTACCTACACACAAACGTGCATACTGACCTTACCGGCCGACGCATTTTCTCTCCGTAAAAATACAGTGAATACCATATGGATTCCCATTTCGTTTAAATGATACCATTCCCCACCCCTCTACCATGTTTTAACCTATCGGATCTATGTGATTTGGCAGATAAAGACATTTCAGTCGTACATGGTACCTGCACTACAGGCGCGCATACCGACGAAACTGACTAGCGCATTACGTATGTTTGTAGAGATGCAGTTAGTGCCATATTCTTGCCAGTCCACTAGATTAGGCATTCTACTTCAACAACACTAGGTTATTGTCAGAATGAACAAGAGTGATTGAACTAACAAGATTGGGAGTACAAGTAGGAAACCCTAGAATGTTGTACCCCCTAAGGCTAAACCCACTATAGCCTACAGAATATAAACATATACAATGTTTGACACACCCCCATAGGCTAAGTGGGAGACAACCAGATGGTCACAAGACCAGTCAAAGCAAAACAAAGCAAAACAAGCTCAGGGTGGATCTTAAGGATACCACACAAATTCCGAGCACAAGCAAGCGGTCACAAGACCAGTTCACATGCAGTTTGATAATATAACAAGAGGTACAGTGATCACAACCTAGCAAGTGTAAGCATGCAGTTATATATATAGAGATCCCAGTACAAGCAGAGTCAAGAAGTGAGCAAGTGAGGGACAGTAGGCACAAGGCCTAGAACAGTACAGAAACGCTGATGATCACAAGGCTGAAGCGCCTTGGTGAACACATCAGCAGTGTTGGCCCGAGTGGCCACGTAAGCAAGACGAAGCTGACCACGCTGCTGCAGCTCTCGAGCAAGGAAGTAGCGCAGAGCGATGTGCTTCGTTCTGTGCTCCAGTCTGTGCTCCTGACACAAGGCAATGGCGGCCTTGTTGTCGACGTACAGCACTGGAGGAGAACGAGGCCGCTCTCCCAGGTCGGTCAGCAGGTAGGTGAGCCAGCGTAACTCCTGTGCAGCCATGGCTGTGGCGTAGATCTCAGCCTCACAACTGGAGCTGAGAACTGAAGACGAGCGTGTAGAACGCCAAGAAACTGAACCAGAGCCAAGGCTGAAGGTGTAACCCTGAGACGACCACTGCGTAGCCTGGTCGTCAGCCCAAGAAGCGTCTGAGTGCCCAGTGAGGACAACTCGAGCCCGTCCTCCAAGCACAAGCCCCATGCCCGACGTACTGCACAAGTAGCGCAACACCCTCTTAGCTGCATCCATGTGCTCCTTCCGGTGACGGCCAGGAGCGACATAGCGTGCTAGGATGCTAAGAGGGTATGCAAGGTCAGGTCGAGTGCAGGTCATCAGGTACATGAGGCAGCCCACAAGCTCTGGATACGGGCCACTCGGCTCTACGGACTCATCCAAAGGCAGAGCTGAGAGCGAGTGACCGGTAGGCAGAGGAGTGGGCTGAGGCGAGGAGTACGTGAAGCGGAAGCGCTGAAGGACCTGCTGCACCATGTGTGACTGAGTCAAGGTGATGGTGCGTTGTGCTCTGTCCCAGGTGATCCGCAAGCCAAGATAGCTTGTCAGCTCACCCAGGTCTGTGCACGTGTGTCTCTTCTGCAGCTCCGACTTCACGTGGGCGAGTGCCTCAGTGTCAGCAGTAGCAAAGACCAAGTCGTCTACCTACACGAGAACGTAGAACGGCGGCAGAGTGGTGTCGGTGCGTAGAAACAGTGACGGGTCAGCAGTAGAAGGAGCAAACCCAAGAGCAGCAAGAGTAGTCCTCAGTGTGTCGTGCCACTCACGGGGTGCCTGGCGGAGACCGTAGACTGGCCGCCGGAGGCTCCACTGGGTACCAGGAGGGAACGACCCAGTGAAGCCAGGTGGGCGGCGCAGCCAGATCTCCTCGTGCAGGCTGCCCTGTAGGAACGCAGTGCTGAAGTCAAGAGAGTGGAGCTCGTAGTCACGCTGAGCGGCGACGTGCAGCAGAACCCGAAGAGTGGTCATCTTCGGGGTCGGGGAGAAGGTCTGGAAGAAGTCAACTCCCTCTCGCTGACTGAAGCCTCGTGCAACGTAACGCGCCTTGAAGACAGGCGGAGAACCCGGCGGCCGCTTTACTCTGAAAATCCACATGCCACTGACGATGTTCGCCCCAGGTGGGGGAACCTCGTCTACGTAGGTGCCTGTGGACTTCAGGAAGCCATCTCTGCGTCCATGGCTGTCTGCCACTGAGAGGAGTAGGGACCCTCCATCGCCTCTGCGTAAGAGCGTGGGGTCGGGATGTCTGGTGCATCCGGGTCTCCCTCAGGGGCAATCAGCATGGACACGAGATGAGGTAAAGCAGCGGCAAAGCACTCAAACTCCTCCTGTCTGTCCTCAAGGACGTCCGTGCCAAGAGCACACTCACCCCCGACGGACGGAGGACAGACAGACTCAGACTCAGCAATAAGGCTAGCGGCGTAGTCTAGACGACAGGCGGCGGCAACAAGGGTCAGTGACAACAGTGGCGAGGAGACGCGTGACAGTAGGACTGGCAGCACGAAGAGAGTCAGACTCCGGGTCAGCAAGAGCAGGAAGAGAGGACGCTGGAGGAGATGGCAGAGGGACACGCTGTGGAGCAGTGGAAGGACGCAGGGTCATATAGTGAGTGCCAAGGACAGGAGGAGGACGCTGACGCGGAGCACGACGACCAGCGCGGACAGCGCGGACAGGCGACTCTGGACGCGACTCAGACGACTCTGGACGAGACTCAGGCGACGAAGGACGAGACTCAGGCTCACGACGCTCCGTAAAACCTCCCGTCGGCTCAGCGTAAGGAGAAGGACCAGGCAGTGGAGAGGCTGGCTGTAACTGTGACTGCGACTGGACAGGCGGTGGACTCAGTAGGGGAGGAGTAGGACCAGGAGAGGGCGGGAGGCCAAGAACCTGCTGAAGGAGCGGAACGTAGTACGGCCGCGGCCGCTCAGCACCTCCTGAACCAGCAGAGACAGCACCAGTACACTCAGCCCCAGGGTCTCCAGCTACAACTCCCGCAGCACCACCAGCAACCCCAGCAGCTCCAGGACCTCCAGCACGAGCACCTCCAGAACCAGCGGCTCCAGCAGCTCCAGCACCAGCAGTACCTCCAGTAGCTCCAGCACCAGCAGCACCTCCAGCAGCTCCAGCAGCAACTCCACCAGCACCACCAGCAGCTCCTGCGCCAGCAGCACCAGCACCTCCAGCACCTCCAGCACCAGCAGCGTCTCCAGCAGCTCCAGCACCAGCAGCACCTCCAGCAGCACCACCAGTAGCTCCTGCACCACAGTACCAGCTCCAGGGTCCGCAGCACCAGCAGCGGCTCCAGCTCCAGGGTCTTCAGCACCAGCAGCAGCTCCAACTCCAGGGTCCGCGGCACCAGCAGCAGCTCCAACTCCAGGGTCCAAAGCACCAGCAGCGCCACTCCGGAGACTGCAGCGCCGAGCGTACCACTCTCGGAGCCGCTGGGGAGAGGGCAGCTCCCGCCTAGGCGGGGAACCACGAACACCAGCTCCAGCAGCACCCCTAGCCCCAGAAGCGCCCCTCCTGAGGCAGCAGTACCGCGAGTACCACTCACGCAGCTGCTGTGAAGAGGGAGCGCCTCCAGGCGCCGCACGGTCAGTCGCAGCACCCCCAGGCTCAGTACCCTCAGACGTAGCACTCTCAGGCTCAGCACCCTCAGGCTCAGCACCCCCAGGCTCCGTACCCGCAGGCTCAGCACCCCCAGACTCAGCAACCTCAGGCTCAGCACCCCCAAGCTCTGCACCCCCAGGCTCCGCACGCTCAGGCTCAGCATCCCTAGCAGGACGAGAGTCGACAGCTACCTCGACAGGCTCAACCGGGTCTACCTGGGACACACCTGAGGGAGCGGCACCCTGAGGGGGGAGGGGGTCTACCACAGCAGCACTTGGTGCGAGGAAGAGAGGCAGGGGGGGGAGCGGGGCAGTGCGGTAGGGGAAGAGGCGGTAGTAGGGGACCGACTTGTCGAACGTGACGTCCTGAGAAGGCAGGACACGGCGCGAGGTGGCGTGGTAAAACTGCCAACCAGACGCGTCCGGGACAAAGCCAAGGAAGACACAAGGAACAGCGCGGGAGGAGAGCTTGTCCGCGGACGTATCACGAACAAAAGCTTGAGATCCCCAGACCCGGAAACGAGACGCATCGCCAACCTCTCCCGTCCAACGCAGTGTCGGCGAAGTCTCCGGAACGGAGACACGGGGCCAGAGGTTGAGCTGATGCGCAGCGTATCGGACCGCAAACGGCCACAGAAAGTGGGGGGCAGCCGCATGGATCAAGGAGGTACGAGCGACCTCCATGACCAGGCCAATGCGGCGCTCAGCAACCCCATTCTGCTGTGGAGAGGCCGGAAGCGTGAACGACTGCTCAATGCCCTGCCCCTGACAGTAGGCCCTCAAGAGGTCGGAGGAAAACTCCCCACCTCTGTCAGAGTGCAGACGCAGGACAGGAAAGTCCGAGTGGAACCTCTCGCTGAGCTGGAGACGGGCAGCGCGGATCCAAGGGATCAAAACATCAGGGACTTCACCCTTGGTGCACAAGGGGAAGACCGTGGTGTAGCGCGAGTAGTCGTCAACAACTATCAAGAAGTACCTCTCGTGACCCTGTCCACGGACGCGGGCTGGGCCCCACACGTCCATGTGGAGCGTCTGCAGGGGAGCAGTCGTCAGGGGAAACGAGGAGGAGTGAGGAGCGGCGCGCTGCCGCCCCTCGACACAGGGAAGACAAGGAGGAGCAGGCGAGGGTGGGAAGGGAGGGAGAACCCTGGGAAGACCAGAGACAAGGTACCGGGAGTGCATGCCACGAAGGCGGTGCACTGACGGGTGACCAAGGCGGTGGTGCCAGAGGACGGTCTCGTGCGCCAGGGAGCGACACGAGTAGGGGGCCGACAGCTGACCTGACGTAGACGCAGACGCAGCTACCTGAGGGGACTCAGTGGTCAGTGTGTACAGGTCCGACCCCGGCTGCCGAGTGAAGGTAGCCAGGTGGCGACCCGTCCGAGCACACGTGCAGTGTGTCACGCGCTCGTAGGCAGGGGTGAACTGGTGGACACCCCCGTCCTGGAGCGCACTACCCGTCACCAAGTTCGTAGAGAACGAGGGGAGGTAGAGACCTGACAGTGTGCCCGACGGGACCGCAGGACAAGGGAGAACAGTAGAGGAGGTCGCAATGACCGGACCCCCAGAGGGGTCAGCGAGGGAGACTGCAACCGGCCGAGCAAGCTGCTCAAGGGCAGTGCGGTCACGAAAGAAACAGCGGGAAGCACCTGAGTCCAGTGTGAAGGTGTGCAGTGCCTCAGTAGACGCAGTACCAGAGGGCGCAGACTCACGAGCACCTAAATCAGCAGCCTCACCAGCACCTAGAGCAGCAGCCTCACCAGGACCTGGGGCAGCAGACGTACTAGCACCTAGAGCGGCAGCCTCACCGGCACCTGGAGCAGCAGACTGGATACCGGGGTCAGGCGGCACACACAGGTGACAGGCTCCCTCGGCACTAGTAGACAATGCATACATTGCAGTGAGAATAGCATCATAGTCTAGAGCAAAGATATCTACCGTCTGTCTAAGCAGCTCCAGCCAGGAGGGGAGCTCAGCGGCGTCGCCAAACTCTGTACGCCAAGCGTTGCCCAGACGGGCGAAGCAGTGGGACTCTGTGTGACCACGTGTCCCGCAAGGCTGACCAGTCCGGACACCTGTGCGAATGACGTACGGGCAGCGAGCAGTACTCAGTGACCCTCTACTCTGAGCGTACCACTCACGAAGCTGCTGGGGCGAAAGAGCCTCGCGTAGACGACGCTGCTGCTGCACTGGGCCACTACAAGAAACTCCCGAACTACCCACTCCAGGACGACTCCCACTACTGCCATCCCGACAACCCCAACTGGCGTACCACTCACGAAGCTGCTGGGGCGTGAGGGACACACGCGGACGGCCCTGGAGCTGCATCTGGCCACGTCAGGAGCAGCAGTAGAAGCAGTAGCAGCAGCAGTAACAGCAGTAGCAGCACGGGCAGGGCAGTGCTCACCAGTGGTGGGAAGGGCAGGCGCACGACGGAGGCGACTGCGGGGCCGCCACAGCGGCTGCTCCAGGGGCGGCTGCTCCAGGGGCGGCTGCTCCAGGGGCCAGGGGCGGCTCCTGCAGTGGCGGCTGCTCCAGGGGCGGCTGCTCCAGTGGCCAGGGGCGGCTGCTGCAGGGGCGGCTGCTCCAGGGGCCAGGGGCGGCTGCTGCAGGGGCGGCTGCTCCAGGGGCGGCTGCTCCAGGGGCCAGGGGCGGCTCCTGCAGTGGCGGCTGCTCCAGTGGCCAGGGGCGGCTGCTCCAGGGGCGGCTGCTCCAGTGGCCAGGGGCGGCTGCTGCAGGGGCGGCTGCTCCAGGGGCCAGGGGCGGCTGCTGCAGGGGCGGCTGCTCCAGAGGCGGCTGCTCCAGGGGCCAGGCGCGGGGTAGGTCAGGGCGACGCAGCGGGCAGGGGCGACGCGCGGGCAGGGGCGACGCGGCGGGCAGGGCGACGCGGCGGGCAGGGGCGACGCCGCGGGCAGGGCGACGCGGCGGGCAGGGGCGACGCCGCGGGCAGGGGCGACGCGGCGGGCAGAGCGACGCGGCGGGCAGGGGCGACGCCGCGGGCAGGGCGACGCGGCGGGCAGGTGGCGACGCCGCGGGCAGGTGGCGACGCCGCGGGCAGGTGGCGACGCCGCGGGCAGGGCGACGTGGCGGGCAGCTGGGCGCGGCCGCGTCAGTAGTGGGGCGCGGCCGCGTTACTGCAGGGCGGGGCCGCGTCCGCGTCGGCGGGGCCGCGACTGCAACCTGACGGGGCCGCGACAGCGACCTGACGGGGTCGCGCGCTGGCCTGACGGGCCTGCAGAGGCTGCGTGCGGGCAGCGAGGGCCTGCAGGGGCGGCGCGCGGTCGGGCAGAGGCTGCGCGCGGGCCTGACGGGTCTGCAGGGGCGGCTCTCGGGCCTGACGGGCCTGCAGAGGCGGCTCGGGGGCCTGACGGGTCTGCAGAGGCGGCTCGGGGGCCTGACGGACCTGCAGGGGCGGCTCGAGGGCCGTACTAGCTTGCAGGGGCGTCGCACTGGCCTAGGGCAGCAGGAGGCAGCGCGAGGGCTGCAGGACAGCACGCGGGCAGAACGAAGGGCGGGGCGCGCGAAGGCGCACTAGCAGAAAAAGGGCGCACGAGGGCGCACGAGCAGAGAAAGGCGCACGAGGGCGCACGTAAGGTAGGGCGCACGAGGGTGCTTCTAGCGGAATAGTGGGCCCGTAGTAGAAAACGGTCCTAGGTGGCAACCTAGGCTCGTGATACCATGTCAGAATGAACAAGAGTGATTGAACTAACAAGATTGGGAGTACAAGTAGGAAACCCTAGAATGTTGTACCCCCTAAGGCTAAACCCACTATAGCCTACAGAATATAAACATATACAATGTTTGACAGTTATAACCTTTCCGATCCACATAGTTTGGGAGATTTCAGAGTTCCAGTTCCACCTTGTACCTACACACAAGCGTGCATACTGGCCTTATCGGCCGACGCATTATTCTTTCTGTACAAATACAGCAAATACCATATGTATTCCCATTTACTTTAAATTATACCATTCCCCACCCCCCTACCATGTTTTAACCTATCGGATCTATGTAATTTGGCAGGTATAGACATTTCAGTCGTACATGGTACCTGCACTACAGGCGCGCATACCGACCAAACTGACCAGCGCATTACTTATGTTTGTAGAGATGCAGTTAGTACCATATTCTTGCCAATCCACTAGATTAGACCTTCTACTTCAACAACACTAGGTTATAACCTTTCCGATCCACATAATTTGGGAGATTTCAGAGTTCCAGTTCCGCCTTGTACCTACACACAAGCGTGCATACTGACCTTACCGGCCGACGCATTATTCTCTCCGTACAAATTCAGTTAATACCATATGTATTCCCATTTCCTTTAAATGATACCATTCCCCACCCCCCTACCATGTTTTAACCTATCAGATCTATGTAATTTGGCTGATAAAGATATTTCAGTCCTACATGGTACCTGCACTACAGGCGCGCATACCGACCAAACTGACCAGCGCATTACGTATGTTTGTAGAGATGCAGTTAGTGCCATATTCTTGCCAGTCTACTAGATTAGGCCTTCTACTTCAACAACACTAGGTTATAACCTTTCTGATCCACATAATTTGGGAGATTTCAGAGTTCCAATTCCGCCTTGTACCTACACACAAGCGTGCATACTGCCCTTACCAGCCGACGCATTATTCTCTCCGTAAAAATACAGTGAATACCAAATGTATTCCCATTTCCTTTAAATGATACTGTCAGAACATTATATAGCTTATGCTGTTGTGTAGGCTATAGTGGGGTATCCCATAGGGGGTACAACCCAATTAGGGTTTTCTATATGTACTCACCTCATTCATAGTTCATCCATCCTCGTTCTTCATTCTTCTCATGGTATCAGA